TTTATTACTTAAGATTTGACTATATCCACTGTATTCACATTTTATTTCATTTCCATGATATATATCACATTTAAACAGATGAATCATCTTCATATTAGATCCAGAATTTTATAATGATAATATTTCCAAAATCACATATAAACATTTAAAGACTCAGAAACATGTTGGTTGAACTTATTTCTCCTACTTGCATTCAAGTTCTGATTTTTTTTAACTTTTAGATTAACTAAATCCCATCTTATAAAAAGTGAATTTCTTTGAGTGAACACAGTATTTTTATGCACAAAAATCCTAATACATTTCAAAGAAAAACATTGCAAGTATATTCCAAAATTATTTTGGCTTTTACATGTACATCATCATGTGAAAGCCACACAAAACATTTTGAATGAATTATTTCCTCCTTGATACATTCATGACAATCTATTCAAAGTAAATTTTAACAAGCAAAATTAAATGCATCTAAGAATTGAATTCAAATAAAATAAATCCCAAATTTTATGCAAATTGATTCGAATAGATTTCAAACACTGCGAATAAAAATCCAAAATGAAAAATTTGAAGGGATATATGAAGAAACACATAACATATCCATCTGAAAACTTAAACTGAAAACACCTGAATAGCTATTTCTTGTTTCACTGACAACTGGACAATACTATAGATAAGGATTGAAAATTTAAAGGTTCATTGATTATGTAAAAACAGTTTTAATTTTCATACATTAAAATGCAGTCCCGAAAATCTTAACTGATTAAGATTATTGGGTCAAAATTAGATTAATCATCTATATTGGGGGCTTAAAACAATGAAAACCAATAATATTTTCTTCCCTATCAATTTTATAATAGAATAACCCTAGGTGAAGAAAAACTTCAGGAAAAAAGCATGCTGTAAGGTTGGGTTAGGTGAATAAAAATCAGTACAGGTAGCATCAAGGTAGACTCAACTCTAACAATACCAACTGGTCAACTTAAATGTCCCAATTATATTGTCAATTTTACAATCTGGTTGAACAATAGGTAAAGGTAAACAGCAACACCCATAGTCAAGTCACAGTAACAAAAACCAAGTATTTATAACAAATGTACTTTTGAAAAAAAATCATACAGAATCTTCCTTTTATAGATATAGATAACACTGTGCATGGACAATATTGAAATCAGTTGTGGCAATCCACTTATTATACGACATAAAAGTGTTACTGTGGATTTGTCATTAATCGTGGGGTACCAACTTTTGTTGATTTCGTGGGTATTGGTTAACCACAGATTTAAATGTTCAACAAAGTATAAATTGTCTATAGGCTTGGATACAAACTTTGGTAAAAACTTGATATCAAATATCCATGAAAATACTATTTTTCCTCAACCCTCGAAAAATTGGTATCCACGAAAATAAATGAATGCACAGTATTGGATCAACAGGTGGAGAGATGAACCGATTATGTTCCTGAAAAGATATTTGGTGTATGAATTTGAAGATAGTAGAAATTTTGAGCAATGGATATTTGGTGTGATTTCAACAACTCATTTTAAACAATTTTACAATTTAAATTCTGTGCTGACCATTGATGTCACCTCCATTGATGAAAACAGTTTATTTCATCATTTGACAGACACATTTTAACTAATGATAAGTTTGCATTCACATTATTGTAGATTTATTAAATAGTGTAATACCACCATTGTTTTTCCCCTATTAGTCTTTGTTAAATTGGCAATTTTCAAAAAAAAATTTCAACCCTTTTTCATATAAAACCGTATGTAACGTATCATGATTTGGTGGTATTACACCTTGTAGGTGGATATACCAAACTGTCAGTTAACACCAAACTAAATACATCTGGCCTTGATGATTTTAAAATTTTAAAGGAGATTTCCTGATGTATTTGTATTTGTGTATGGTTGATGCAAAAGTAAGTTGTAAAGACAACCATATTTGGTTTGACCCTGAAGGTTCTTTATTTTAAAATTTTAAAGGAGATTTCCTTATGTATTTGTGTATGGTTAATGCAATAGTAAGTTGTAAAAGACATCCATATTTGGTATGACTCTAAAGGCTCTTTTAACTGAAAATTGTACTCAATAGCCTATGTACCTAATATTGTCAAACCAAATGAATATCTAATATATATGAAAATAATTCAAAATATCCCATATCCCCAATGCAATTTAAGATAAACTAAATCCATAAAAAAAACAGATAGTTATCCCAGTCCTAGTTATTAAAGTAAAAATACATCCTGGTCCTTGAAATGAAATTACAATAAAATGCTCCGCAGGGCGCAGCTTGATACGACCGCAGAAGTCGAATCCTGAACAGTTGGGGCAAGTATGGACACAACATTCAAGCTTGATACAGCTCTGAATTTGGATTGTGATTAAATATTTGACACAGCATAGGTTTCTGACACAGAATGAATGTGGTCTAAGAACTTAAAAATTTTAAATTGGACATTCACCTATTATGGTCCAATATCCAAAATCTAAATACATGGTTAGATTCAGCATATCAAAGAACCCCAAGAATTCAATTTTTGATGAAATCAAACAAAGTTTAATTTTGGACCCTTTTGACCTCAATGTGGACAAAGTTGATAGCGGGGCCCAAAATTCAAAAATCTAAATACATGGTTAGATTCAGCATATCAAAGAACCCCATATATTCAATTTTTGTTGATATCAAACAAAGTTTAATTTTGGACCCCGATTTGGACCAACTTGAAAACTGGGCCCATAATCAAAAATCTAAATACATGTTTAGAGTCAGCATATCAAAGAACCCTAAGAATTCAATTTTTGTTAAAATCAAACTAAGTTTAATTTTGGACCCTTTAGACCTTAATGTAGACCAATTTGAAAACGGACCCAAAAATTAAGAATCTAAATACACGGTTAGATTCGGCATATTAAAGAACCCCAATAATTCAATTTTTGATGAAATCAAACAAAGTTTAATTTTGGACCCTTTGGACCTCAATGTGGACCAATTTAAAAACGGGGCCCAAAATCCAAAAACTTAATACACGGTTAGATTCAGCATATTAAAGAACCCCAAGAATTCAAGAATAAAACCCCATTGAAATTGGTCAAGAAATAAGCAATTTATACGAAGTATGACTTCTTTTGCACAATACTGTGCAATTGAATATTTCTTGCTATTGCGCAATACTGTACAATTGACAATTTCTTGCTATTGCGCAATATTGTGCTATTGGATATTTCTTGCTATTGTGCAATACTGTGCAATTGAAGATTTCTTGCTATTGCGCAATACTGTGTAATTGAAGATTTCTTGCTATTGTGCAATACTGTGCAATTGAAAATTTCTTGCTATTGCACAATACTTATTATATAATAGTTTACACATCCTGTTTGGTGTGTATCTCCTACCATATCATTATTATTTGCTTTTAAATATAAATCAGAAATAACCAACTTAAAATGGAAAATTTTAAAAGAAAAAAAAAAAGGAAAAAAAAAAAATCCCCCCCCCCAAATTTTTTTAACCCCCTTATGATTCATCAACCCCAATCTCAATCCCAGCCTTCCCTTTGTGGTATGGTACCTTGCAGTAAAATTTCAGAGAGATCCATACAATTGAACACAAGTTATTGTCTGGAAACTAGAAAAATGTGTTTTTTGGCCCCTTTTTGGTCCCAAATTCCTAAACTTTTAGGGCAATTATCCCCAAACTCAAACCCAGCTTTCCCTTTGTGATATGGAACCTTGTAGTACAATTTCAGAAAGATCCATACACTTACACACAAGTTATTGTCCTGAAACTAGAAAATGCTTGTTTTTTACCCCTTTTTGGCCCCTAATTCCTAAAATATTGAGGCAATTACCCCCATCATCAATCCCAGCCTTCCCTTTGTGGTATGGTACCTTGCAGTACAATTTCAGAGAGATCCATACACTTGAACACAAGTTATTGTCTGGAAACTAGAAAAAAGTGTTTTTTGGCCCCTTTTTGGCCCCCAATTCCTAAACGTTTCGGGCAATTACCCCCAAACTCAATTCCAGCTTTCCCTTTGTGATATGGAACCTTGTAGTACAATTTCAAAAATATCCATACACTTATACACAAGTTATTGTCAGGAAACTAGAAAAATGCTTGTTTTTTGTCCCTTTTTTGGCCCCTAAATCCTAAAATTTTGAGGCAATTACCCCCAAAATCAATTCCAGCCTTCCCTTTGTGATATGGAACCTTGTGGTACAATGTCAGAGAGATCCATACACTTACACACAAGTTATTGTCTGGAAGTTACAAAAATGCTTATTTTTGGCCCATTTTTGGCCCATTTTTGGCCCCTTTTTGGCCCCTAATTCCTTAACTGTTGGTACCATAACCCACAAAATCAATCCAAACCTTCCTTTTGTGGTATTTAAACTTATGGTAAAATTTCATAGAGATCCATTCACTTAAACTAAAGTTATAGTGCAAAAACTAATGTGTCTTCGGACGACGATGACTACAACGACAACAACGACAATGACAACGCCAACGTCATACCAATATACGACCGCAAATTTTGTGGTCGTATAAAAATCAATTATGTCAAAATGTTTTTATCTTTTAAACTCCTTTACAATACTAACACTTATTGTCACAGAAAAGTTAACAACACCTGTCATGACCTTGTAAGACAGTCACTGTCAACTCTGCAGTTAACTGACATGTTTCTGAACTTTTGTTAATTCAGTGCCTTACAGTCATAAGTTTCATTACTAGAACACAATGTAGATTTATGACTATAGCTGTATTGCAACCATGACAACTTGTACTGTTAACATGCATCACATGACATTAAGGATGTCTGATTATCATGACAACTGGTATTGTTACCATGGTTACTTACCTTTTGTTTGTTGACACTGAACTCCTGCTACTTTATAGTCTTTACAATCATGATCTTTCCATGGATTAGCGTCACATGACAATAAAGATGTCTGATGTTTATCATGACAACTAGTACTGTTACCATGGCTACTTACCTTTTGATTGTTGACACTGAACTCCTGCTACTTCATAGTCTTTACAATCATGATCTTTCCATGGATTAGCATCACATGACATTAATGATGTCTCATTACCAAAACAGTTGACTTCATCCAATAAAAATTTGCCATTTCCACTTCCAAATTTGCTTCTTTTAAATGCTGATAATGCATGGCTGAAATCACACATATATTGTTTGTATTTATCTATAATTCTACAAAAGTTCTAAATATAATTTGAAACATCATTACCAAAGAGCAAACGTTACTAGATATGATGTATGGTTAAAATACTTTTTACTGTAAATTTGCATGTACCATGCAATGTACACCTGATTAATTCATTTTCACTGTGTATGATATCTAATAAATCAAATCTCTGCATTTTTTAAAAACAAGTACCCCCCGGTACCCTTCTTGCTTGTGTTGCAATGGAACTTGTGTGTTCCTCAAAATGTTTGAAGAAAATATGTCATGTGATAGCTTTATCATGAATAGTCAGGAAAAATTAACACAACTCACAACTGTGGACCACAATCGTAAACTTACACATATCCCAGCATTCTACACACATTTTACAATGGCATCCTTTATGTCCCATTGATCATCACAAATCACACCCCATTCTATAGACTTACACATATCCCAGCATTCTACACACAACAATGGCATCCTTTATGTCCCATTGATCATCACAAATCACACCCCTATCTATAGACTTACACATATCCCAGCATTCTACACACAACAATGGCATCCTTTATGTCCCATTGATCGTCACAAATCACACCCCATTCTCCACGATAATTAACTTCAACTCTGCCTGAGTGTTTATCTTCTCCACCAACCAGTCTCACATCTATAGTGTCTTTTTCAGGGGACTGATCTACAGATACAATTCAAAGATAACAATACATGATAAATAAGGAGTTTTGCTTATTGTTAAAGGCCATATGGGGACTATAAGATGTCTAATATTTGTAATATATTTTGAGGGAGTAAATCGAAATTTTAACAGCCAGCCATTGCTCTGCATATTGTAGAAGGTGTTTCCTCTAATTCAAAAATATATTTACCAGGTACAATTTAGCAAATATGAATAAACATAATGCTCTTCCATACTTGCAGATATTAATCTCAGATTTTACAGCCCGTCACCTCTGAATTACCGTAGTAAAATCAATGATTGACATCTTCAAGTATAAAATTACAATACAAATAATTTCCGTAATCTATAATTTTGTAACTCTTGAACAAATAGTCAGAAGCAACTTTTGAAGAAGCCCATAAAATTCTTAAATTTTTTTTCTGTTACTGTCATTCTTTTCATAAAAGAATGAATTTGTTATTTTTATAAATATAGAATTTACTGTACTCGAAAATATGATTGAATGTATTTCATAATAGTGCTTAAATCTTATTTATTTTAGAGTTATTTTAGTAAGGAAGATTGTTAAAAAAATAGGACTGATATCTTATGAATCCAAATCTGTAATAATGAGATACATTACCACACCCATCTTCATCAGATAAATCCAGGCACTCGTCTTTACCATTACATAGAGCATCAGACGTCACACAGCGACCATTGTTACATTTATATCCTCCAACACAATCAACATCTATCAAGAAAAATAACAGCTTAAGAACATAATTAAACCATGCAGAATTACGAATATGATAAGATTGTCCAGTAAATGACCATTTGATGCTAGAAGCTATTTTCTATTTCAATATTTTTTTAATGTAAAAGTTAAGAGCAACTTATACAATGACAATTTTTTACTAAAACAAATTCAGATGGAAAGAATGATGCAAAATGTAAATGATACAAATAAATTTTTGAAATACTAACACTAAAGACCAAGTCCAAGAACAGAACTTCAGTTATTTTTATAAAATGGATACCTATTTGAGAATTCAACTCATAGAAATCATGGTTATAGGAGAATGTTGGCCTGGCTGTATTGCTGTTCTTATCTGAGAGGAAACATTCTCTCTGTATGCCTATATAGGATATAGATCTACATACAAAACTGGTGCTTTCTAAACACAGTCTGGCACACTGAAACATAATATATACATACATTATTGTATGTTCTTTTTCCAAGTTGATAAAATAAAACATTGAGACAATTCAAAATAACATCAAGAAAAACAAATTGTTCGTAATAATAGTATATTGAATAATAAGATTTGTGTAATGAAATTTGTAGGATTATATCTCTCTTTCACTTTCAGATCTATAGATTCAAACCCAGTTTATATTATAAGGTCACAAATAATGTTTATTTTATCACTGAATTTTATTTAAAAATTTGTAAGGGGTTCCGAGGAACCGTGTTTCTCACCTATGATTGCTGCTGTCAGTGTAAAAGTGTAATGTTAATTTAAAAAGTGAGTCTATTTATCAGTTAAATATAGAGTTTAAAAAAAAAAATTCAAACTTTTTCTTTAGATGCTATTTCTTGGTCTTGAAGATTAGCTTCTGTCGAAGTTTCATAACAATCCATGAAAGTTTACAAACTTATCATGTCAAAAAAATTGAATGCCAGATTTCTGTAAATGTTAACTATAAAAAACTAAATCCATCTATCAGAAAAATACTGAAAATGAAAATGTATTTGCTTCAGACATTATCTCTTAATCATAAAAAAGCTTCTGCCAAAGTTTCATAAAATTCTATGAAGGTTTGAAAAAGTATTCGATGTGTAACAAACTTTAACCCCAGACTGTATCTACTTATTAACTGAAAAAAAAAAAAAAAAAAATTTTGCTCTAGATACTGTATTTTGGTCATTAACAAGCTTCTGTCCAAATTTCATAACATTCCATGAAGGTTTAACAAAGTTATTGATGACTGAAAATTTTTAACCTCAGACTGAATCTGAATGTTAACTGCAAAAAAAACTAAGTCCATTTATCAGTAAAATATGGAAAAATTCAAATAAATATTTTCAAAATTTTGCTTTGAATACTGTATTTTGGTAATAAAACACAAGCTTCTGTCCAAATTTCATAAAATTCCATGAAGGTTTCACAAAGTTATTGATGTCTTAAAATACCAACCACAGACTGAACCTAAATGTTGACACCACCGCCATCGCCGACACCGACGACAGAATCTAGGATCACAATGTCTCCGTTTCACAACATAAATGTTGCAGGCTTGACAAAAAAATGTATGTTTGTTTTATATATCTATCTAAGTTGTAACAATACTTACATATTCTAATGCAATCTTGACATATCTCTCTTTCACATCAGTCTTAAGAACTCTATATTTTGTCTTCTTAAACAGTGGAAGTTTGTAATCTATAGGATAAAAAGCAATCTAAATTCAGGGGAATGTCTTCATATAAATATTATAATCAAGATACATGACTAAAATTTTTCACAAGTTAAGCTATTCTTCAAATTCATTTAAGGGCATACGGTACAGTTACAGGGGAGGTAATGACGTTGCTAACATAAAATGTTATTTTTCGCAACGTCAAATTGTGACATATCGAGAAAAGATGTATTTTTCAACTGATTTTTATCATTCAGACTAATTTAACTTGAAAACGAGTTCATGGACCCCTTTTTTTCAAAATGACATTAGGTTTGATTATGTATGAAGGTTATTTGTACCAATTTTTATGAAAAAGACACCGATGACATTTTTTAAAATCAGATGAATATACAGCAAAAACTGCTGTTTTTTTCTAAAATCATGAAACTTTGATAAAAATTAATTATTTCCAAAGAATTTTTATACAAATTAAGAGCATACGTATGTAAAGAAGATTTTCCAAATGTTTTTACAAAAATCCGCTTGTGTTTATCTTTTGAAACCAAAAAGTTAGGTATGTCTATCCAAAGGATTAAAATGTCCAAAAAAACGAAACTTTGAGTAAATGTCTGAAATTTCAACCCCATTTATCTCTAAAGTAGCACAAGAAGGTACATTTTTTATTACATATTTGAATTGACTAGGTGAAAAATAGATTGTATGTAAATTTTCATAAAAAAATCACTGTGGGATCAAAACTGTATGGTATGCCCTTAATGAAAATAACACTTTATGAATTAATTTTCTAGATTCACCTTCAGCAGGAAATGCTCACAACAAAATATGTGAATTACAAATTTAAAAACAAAGGATGTTTAAATACTTGTAAACGTGAGGACCTATATGACTAAAAGGAACCTAAAAGAATAGCCAAATTCGTTTTATTCCAACTTGTTTGAGGAAGTTGGAACCTTAGTTTCTTTATAATTTCGCAATTTATCAACAAAGAATTCACAAAAAGAATGTTGTAAATCATGTCAGTGATGAAGCATTGATTCCTACCTATAATTGATTGTACCCATTATAAAATGCATACATAAAAAGACTTTATAAGTCATGAATTATAACTGGTAACTCAGTACTGCCGTTTTATTCCAGGCATGTTTATGAAAAGACATTTATATTTTTCATGGATGACTTATGAAAATTTCAAAATATGTGTAAGAAGGGGAGATAACTTTACCACAATTTAGCTCATCCTCTTCTTCATCACAATCATTTTCATTGTCACATTGAAAACTTTCTGGAATACATTCTTTGGTGTACCTGATTTATAAAATAAGGAATTGAGTTGTTGCAAATTATTTATGTTTTCCTTCAAATAATTTGAAAAAAAAAACATGATAAAAAATTCTTATTTAATTAAAGAAATCTCATTCTGAAAGATATATGTAAAATGGTGTTAAGCAATTTGAAACATTGAAAACATAAATATTTCAAAACAATCTATCATATCTTCTGCAGAAAAACTTGTACTATTATGGGTATATCATAAGCCTATAAATGTATTATATCTTAAGAGCATCCAGTCCAATCTAGCAATTTCTGACAATTGTAATATTAGATTTTTTCAAGTTACAAATCACCAGAAATGTCCTCAGCTATTTGCCAAAGAAAACCAGACAGGGCCAGCTAAGTTTTTATACAAGATGTTGATGCCCTATTTTTATTACCTTTTTACAGCTGAGATAATGGTATATCTAAAAACTATTTTTAGAAATTTGATTTCCAACTGTAATACTGACAACATAAAGTAAAAAATGTCAGTAAATACTTACAAACTATTTTTAAGATGGTTGTAACAATAAAATTCCTCATCTGGGCAGTCCTTTGGTGCTACTGTAAATAAAATAATCGATTAGTCTCCTTGTCTCTTTATGATCAATTATATATTTAGGTTGGCATTTTACATGTTTCTAACCATGTGTTGTTGGTTGCTGTCTCTATGGTGTATACCACACACATATTTTATTCACACTTGATATACTTCTGATTATAAATACATTTGTGATTATTTCAGTGTCTAAAATTCCCACAACAAACCTGTTATAGAAATACAGATAAATTTAGTTTGTTAGTTTTCATACATTCTCTTCAGTGTTCATTGTCAGATTCATTGCTGAATAAAACTGGACTACCAGAATTTAACCTTTTACTAATAGTTCTCTCATATAACAGTAAATTGGGTTCACCACTCAAACCACTAGCTGTTAAACTACTGAGAGGCTGGTGTGCTCCTTTTGGTTGATTACAAATAAGTAATCCATACCTGTTGTTGTAGTAACAGGTGCTTCATCACATTGTGCAATATTACAGAATCCAAAGTCATTTGTACCAACTTTAACCCAACACCAAGGTTGTTTGTCACTGTCTGGATTACGACAGAACTTGTGGTCTCCCAAACCCTTCAAAAAGAAATATTCTTAGATTAACACTTGTGGTTAATCAAATTAACATGAATAATATCAAAGAGAACTTGCTTTAAAGTAAAATATCAGTGTCTTGTGAGTCTCTATAGGTAACAAGGTTTGTAGTTCTTATTGTGCAAGTTGATAACCTTTCATTGAAAAATTATTGCACAGGTTATCAACTATCATTTCTAATAAAAATTTAGCTTGTGCATAAGGAAGAAATTTGTACAACAAATTTTCAATCAAGAATAAAATATAAACTCTAGATTAATGTTAACTTATATTTCCAATATTACATTTTTTTTTTCATAGGAAGACTGTGTTCCCAGTCAATTCAAACTTTATGATAGGAACTTGTGTTGATGTTTGTAACAGTGAATGAGAATTTTCTCTTTTTAATCTATTTTGCAATCCCATTTTCACCATGATGCACTTGTGAAGAAAAAGTAATTGACAGATCCAGTACAGTACAGCAAGTGACACTTTGTATGGGAAGGGACAATATTTCATTGACATGCATCAAGTCAGCCCATTAGAATAAATCAAACACATGGAAGTGACAGGAAAACATTCAAGCCATGGAGCCTGTATAGTTCAGTGGTTGTCGTTGGTTCATGTCTGTCATATTTGTGTTTAAGTATTTAATTATATATAAGGCCATTAGTTTTCTCATTTGCATTGTTTCACATTTTTCATGTCAAGGCCTTTTAAAGCTGACTTTATGATATGTTTTTTCATTGTTGAAGGTGATACTGTGACATATAATTGCTTACATGTACCACTTCTCCTTATTTTTATATAAAAGAAAAAAGAATATCCAGAATTATTCAAAAATTTATTCATTACTAATAAAATACAAACATAAACAATAGCACTATTAGTTATGATAAACAGCACTATTAGAGATGACACACAGCACTAAAAGCATTGACAAAAAGCACCGTTCCAATGTTCATTCATTTACAATTCAACTCTTTGTGTTTGACTAAATATCTGTTCCATGAGTCTTTGTCCAGTTTTATGATGACTGTATCTCTTGGCAGATGGTACAATCTTTGAGATGGTCCCTGATTTAACTGAATGGTTGACAAAGTCCCAGCATGCTCTTTCAAGGTCATCCAGACCAAACTGTGATGCCCCACATAAAAGTCCAGCTACACATGAACTGTTGATGTCCACAGAACCACTGTGTATGAACTGTATGATCTTTCTGAAGTCCTCTGGTTCATACTTCTTCACAACAATGGTAACTTTGTCGGATTTTACTGATGTTTTCTTTTTCTTGTCATTTTTTAAATTTCGCCTTTTGCTTGTGTGTGCATCTTATCTTATACTATAAAAGCTACATATAAAAGAACTGATGCTAAATGTTTGGGTTGTTGAGACGAACAAATGGTACATTTAGTCTGTAGCAATCTGATTATATATTATAGGAATTATTGCCCCTTAAATGTTGAAGTTTACGGTAAATCAATTATAACTTCATTCTGGTACATGATAAAGTCATAGTGTCTTTGGCTAAGGTCTAGGTGACACATGACCCTGAAAAATATCAACCGGAAAAAACCTTGTGCAAACCGCAAGTAGCTATTTTTGCACAAATTCAAGGAAAAAATACTTGTAAACTATATATTTCTAAAATCAGCATACAATAACCTTTTAAATAACACCAGAAGTTGCCTTAGTTAAACCGGATGTAGCTTATTATCTCCTTTATTTGAAGGAAAAGTATATAGAAACTATATATTTTCGGAATCAGTGGAAAATAAGCTATCTTATGAAACCGGAAATGACATTTTCTTCACCAGAAGTAGCAAATTATCTCCAATATTTAAGACAAAAGTATATAAAACCATATATTTTTAGAATCAGTACAAAGAAAGCTATCATAAGAGTCTGGAAATGACATTTTCTTACCTGGAAGTAGCAAATTATCTCCCATATTTAAGTCAAAAGTATAAAGAAACCATATATTTTTTTAATCAGTATGAAGTAACCTATGATTAGACGCCAATAGTAACTTTGAGAAAACCAAAAGTAGCTTCTCATCAGTTATCTAGAAATGTAATGTGGAAAGACCTTCAAGTTGTTCTCTGAACAATTGGTTTTTAATTACTTTATAGTTCTGTACAGGGTTTAAAAAATATAATTCTGTACACTGTTTCAAAAATATAATTATTCACACATCAATAAATAAAACTCAATATATTAATCATCAATACACAATTATAAAACAACAACTGCAAGCAATTAGCAGGTACAAGCCACGGCTATTTAAACAAATCTGGACAAGTACAATTAACAGCCATGTTCTTTTTGTTTTTAACTTCTCTTTTGTTGTCCTACCTGACACTTAAATAGAAATTCCTTTAAATCCTTATAGGAATAAATGATGTAATATTGTCTGAACTATTAAAATAAATATTTTAAATTTTATTTTAAACTTGTGGTGGAGTAATTCACAAAGGATATACACATGTATCTGCTACATGTAAATTAATTACTCTCTCCACCATAAATGTATTCCATTTTTTGTATACTGTAAGATTATTGATTATCCTATTATGTATGCCAATATATTATTGTCTTGCAAGACAATAATTCAACCTCATTTGGGTGTTGATGCATGGAATCTTTACTTTGACCCTTAGTTTGAGATGGGCTGTGCATGTGCTTAGCATGTTCAGTTATTAAAAGGAAAAGAATGTCAAAATTACAAATCAAACCAGGGAGCCACCAGGATGAACCATTTTGATGACTGATTTGATGCACAAAAAAAAATTATTCTTTATGCAGATAAAATGATCATTTACATTTTTTTTTTAATCTATAACATGAAATTAAGCAGACCTAGAAAAATCGTCATTATACTATTGTAAGTGCTTTTATATTTATGTTGATATCAGGTCACATGACCATCCTCAGTCTTTGAATGTCATCTCAACAGTTAGTTGTATGACATCTGGTCCTAAAATATACACAAAATACTGATTTTTTTTTAAGATTTCATGTATTGTTTATTGTTCCAATGGAACTTTTGTCATTCTGGTAAATTTTAGATTTGTTATAACCATACTTTTTCTTTCAGTTTAATTTTTGAGGTTGGCATGTATGCACTTTATTCAAATTTCAGAAGTCCAGCAAGCGCAGCTGTGTTTCTGACAGCCTCTAAATGTTCAATGTGGCATATTAAACAAGTCTATGCTGGTGAACATATTATGTTAGGTTGCTGACCTGCTGACTTAATATCTTCATATCTATGTATATCAAATTGTGTTTCTTTATTCATAAGAACATTAAAAATCAAGATAAAAATGTTCATAATTTATTGATCTTACCTATAAGATTCCAATATCTCATATAGAATTTGAAGGAGGTGAAAATTTTCATAACAAGTAGATATATTTTTTTAGACTTCATATTGTAAAAGTACAGATAAAAAAATGTCCAAATTAGGATTATTTGTTTCTGGGAGACATATTTTTACATCGTTTTTCTGTTGATGACATTGTCATTTCTACTATGAATATTTCAATAGAGATTAAACTGTATGCTTTGAGAAGAGAGCTGTTATTGAAACAATTTTTTAAAAAGTAAAGTTGAAAAATACTATAACCATTTGTTAAAATTTGTAAGTAGCAATCTATACGGTGTCAAGATGTAGAATTTAAAAGTCAACTTTGAATTGAACTTTAACCCAAGTATCTGAATCATGAAAAATAGGTTAAACTTACTCACTTCAGCCTATATTTTAACTTTCTAAGGTGCATCCATATTGAGGCATATGATTACATCTTAAAGTACCAAAAATAGTAACTATGGTAATCGAGTTAAGTTATATTATCCAAGTCCTTATTAGTTACATCTTTCTGAAAAATTCTATCTCAATTTACCAAGATTTAGGAAAGTATTGAACTCTTTGTTTACTGTATAACCATTAAATACACTTAAAACATTCTAGGGGATTTATAATAGGCCACACTGGCTCTGCTTCTTGAAACCCTATTTAATGGGCAAGCTTGCTAACACCATTTATCACAAATAAAAACAGGTTTTTTTTCTGAATACATATTTATTTATTTATCAATTCAATGACATAACAATAAAGCACTAATGGTTATAATAATTTAAACACTCTAGAGTCATTTACAATTCAACACTTTGCTGTGTTTGACTAAATATCTTCTCCATAAGTAACTGTCCAGTTTTGTGATGGCTGTATCTCTTGGCAGCTGGTATGATCTTTGAAATGGTCCCTGATTTAACAGAATGGTTGACAAAGTCCCAGCATGCTCTTTCAAGGTCATCCAGACCAAACTGTGATGCCCCACATAAAAGTCCAGCTACACATGAACTGTTGATGTCCACAGAACCACTGTGTATGAACTGTATGATCTTTCTGAAGTCCTCTGTTTCATACTTCTTCACAACAATGGTCACTTTGTCTGATTTCACTGTGGTTTTCTTTTTCTTGTCTTTTTTATCAGCTTTTCTCTGAAATTCAGCTTCCTTCTGTTTCTTTAAGATGAGATTGTACAGCACTCTGCTTCTTGTTCCCAAGATGGCCTTGACACCATGAACTTTGACCTTTTCTGAACCAACTTCAAATGTGACATCACAAAGTTCTGGTATAGATGAGATGACTTTCAATTGTTCTGTCAGAGCTTGTGTATTTCTGTAGCTCATCTTTTCTTTAATCTTGACTGGGTCCCTGTTGTAGGTAATAGGTATCAGTCTGTTATTCTGTGGGTTATGAGTTGATGTGGATGACTCTGAGTCTGATGGTGTGGATTCATATCCAGAGGAATAGTCATCCTGTTCTACTTGTTCAAAATCAACTAAAGCCAAAGTGGATTCACATCTATCCATAATAAAATAATTGTTGATGAATAATAATATGTTGTAAAGATATGATTTGATTTTTTAATGATGAAGTTTGGAACATTGTGATTTATATATAAAAGATATGAAATTATTTACTCCTAATCTGACAG